TCTGTTTTCTTAGCTTCCTGTAAAAGAAATGGGTTGTTTCTGTTTGTTGAGGGAAATGATGCAATTTCTTTGCAACTGTAAAATTAAAACTGCTAAAAGCAATGCTGAGCTTTTTACAGTAGTAACAAACTCTTTCTAAATTCTGAGATATTAAGCTGGCAGGCAATAAATCAAAATTACCAATTAAATTAATGTAATTTTTTAAAGTTTCTTTAAATTCATCGGGGAAATAATAATGAGTATTCACTAATAACTTTTCATATTCCTGCTTTATCTGTCCTTGAAAGGACATCTGCCTTTTCAAGGCAGATAAGGCCTACCTACAGACTTTCCCTCACCTATGCATAATAAATATGATGAAAGTAGGATGAAAATAGCCCTCTCCTGAATCCTGTGGACTACTTAAGTAACAGATATTTTCTGGAGGCAGTGTCCTCAAATAAGTACAGATATCAGATTGAGATAACCAGAATGCAAAAATTAATTTCAGAATAATAAAAAAAAGCTCATCTCAATTCCTTTGTATAGTGCCAAAGCATCAATTCAAATTATTTGTGGTTAAGGTTGTTATCTTTATTTCAGTAATATGTGAAGGTAGCCAAATATTCAGTTTCATAAGCATGTCAAAGTGCAGATTTCAGTCCTAACTTAAACCATCATGACCATCTGCTATAAAAATCATTCTCGTTTTGCTTTGCATAACCATTGTTAAGCTTGTAGACTAAACATTCAACCACTGCAAGCAGTCAGCAGCTTTATTACTTCTCCTGCCCCTGCAGAGGCATCCTGGATTCAATTTGCCTAAATACATCAAAGTATTTTAATTTTGAAGTACCCCAAGCATTTTGAAAAGTTTAAAGGCTATTTGTCTTCTAAAATGTTTGAATGTAAACTCAAATGAAAATCATCTTGATGATTTTTTTCCAGTTTAAATGACTGTCACATTCCTGTTCTGAAAAGCCCCTCAAGCTCCAATATACAGTTTCCCCTGCCCTTTTTTCCCTCCAAGTAATTATGAGTGAGCCAGTTTTAAGTTACGTGGTCAGATTGGCTTCCTTCATTCTGAGACTCCTCTATTTCTGCAGAGTTCAATGAATTAAACACTTACTAAGCCATCAATTTGTCTCAACTTCTCAACTTCACTTCAAGCTTTATTTTTTTCCTTTCTTTAGCGCTAGATTGTGAATAAATACACAGTCAGCTGATCCACCAGGATAAGATTGCACATAACTAGTTCTGAGCTAAAAATGGCAGGAATGTCTGAACTGGCTGACAGTAATCAGCAAGCACAAAACTAGGTGACATATGGGTATCTGGCAAAAACAGTCACAAAATAATTCTCTTTGAAAATACATTAAGTACTTGAAATATTTGAAAAATCATACAAACTTAGTAAAATATTTTGTATTATAGCCATTAATTCACTGACATTTTTACTTGTTTTTTTAAAGTTTCAAAACTTACGTGAAATACATGCATATGCATAATGAAAATTTTCATTTGGACATTATATGTAGTATTAAGTCAGTGCCTGGAGAAACTTCCTGATAGCACCTATATCCATTCAAACCTATATCCAAATCAAATTCTAAGGTCATAGAATTCTCCTGATTACATGCATAAATTTTTGCAACCAAGTGTGCTATTTGGATATTAGAAATATATATATATATATATGCATTCAATAATTCAATATATGTGTTTTATAAAGTCATTGGGCTGAAAAGGCCATGTGAGTTCAGCTCAGTCCATTCCTCACTCCCAGGATAGAATCACCTGAGCCCATGTCATTCCTACCAATGTCACTCCTACCAGATGTTTGTCAAAAAAGAGACATTGGCAGGATCAAGACATCCCCACTAAAACTGTCTGTCCCAGTGAGTCCTATCTAAGTTGAAAATTTTCTCTCCTAACCTTTCTTCTAAAATGTAAGCTCAGTTATTTTTAGTGCTATTAATTAACAATGTGAATAACAAGTTCTAAGCTTCTCTTTTTTCAGTATCTTTGTACTTGAAGCCCATTGTTACATTTCCTGTCACCCTTTTCCTCTGCATTGCCAGTCTCCTGCTTGACCAGCCATTATTTGCAGATCATGGTTTACAGTGCTTGGTTTGAACTCACTGTTCTCCTCTGGATTCCAGTTTTCAGACTCTCTCTGCCCTGTTTCTCTTGGAAGTATCACCCAGAGCTGAAGCTCCAGGGGAAGGACCCAGGGACATCTCTGCAGATTGCACAGCCTGACTTGTGCTTGGTGCTCTTTGTCATACAGGGATGCCAGAGCATCATGGATAATTCTGCAGCTTACAGTCATTTAAACAACTGGAAATTGCTCAATATATCAAGCCTAAATACAAAGGACCTGATTCATTGGGAAATCCACACTTCTGTCTTGTGTGCTTTAGAATGAAAATTTCTATAAACATGAAGTCTCACTTACATAAATTTTGTTGTTGTTATTGTTGGTTTTTAAGAAGAAAAGAATAGGCTTTTTAAAATTGCTGTGCCATTTTCCCTCCCAAGCTGGTAAACTCTTTGGCTGCACACTCTTTCAGTCCCACAATATTAGATACCACAAAATTACAGAGTTGTGAGAAGAAAAATGTAGCACAATAAGTTAAAGGGTGTTTAAATATAGTCCTTATTTTACAACTTGGGCACTATATTCCCGTTTTCAAACTGCCAATGAACCACTGGGAATTTTCTTTTTCTTGCTGATTCTCCTTAAGACCTCTATGAATAGCAGAGAAAACAACTTCACTGTAATAAAAACAGGGAGTTGTTTTCCTTTTTTAAAATTCAGGCATTGGGTAAAATCAAGGTCGTTGCAACAACCTTTGAAAGAACAGAAAGAGTAATTTCCACGCCCCCCCCCCTTTTGCTTTTTTACTGGTTTTCGATGAAATGTGAAAAATCATTTTTAAGTTTGCCCATCTGTTTTACATAAAACCTTAGTTGACCTTACACAAAGTGAAACAAATGCACAAAAAGCTTTGCTGTTGGGTTCTTGCCAGTAGGAGGGAGCAAAAAGAAAAGAATATGTAAAGTTAGATTCTGCTCTGGTGTAAATTAGCCCAGTTCCAGTGGGGACTTAGGTTGATTTATACCAGCAGAGGCTGAGGCTTGTATTTCTTATAAAAGCCAGACTTGTTAGACCCAGCCCTGCTACCACTGAGATCACCTGGAGCTTTGCTATTGGTCTTTGTGGGGAGAAGAACCCTTAGTGAAGGATTTGCCACATTTGGTGCAGATAAACAGGACCCATCCAGCCATGCAGTGGATGTGGCAGCTTGAGGAGAAATGCCCCAGTGTGAGAAACTGAGGCTGTGGAAGGTGTGAAGTGTGGCTTGAGCTGCAGCCTGGCTTTGTACAGCTGCTGTACCTGCTGAGCTCAGCACATCTCCAGGCTAGGGAGATGCTCTGACACCAGATTTGAGGCAGAAAGATGCTCACACACCATGGTGGGGCTCCTGTCCTGCTGCTTTTCTCCTGTTAGCCTGACCTGGCTGATGCAGGGTCAGTACATGGAACAGCAGTGGGTGCTGAGGCAAGGAGGATGTGCCATGCATGGAATCAGGCAGAGCATGCAGGAGCAGAGCACACCAGGGGAAATGTTCCACCTTTAATCTTCACTCATCTTACCCTGCACTTCCATGACACTTCCATTAATGTGTCTGAGGGGGAGCTATGCCCATTATATCAACATTCCAATCTGATATGATTAATGAGTATAAAGTAAGGTTCAGGCTTTTAATTAAAAAGGTACTGAGCAGCGAAGGTCTGGCTAAGTTTCTCACAAGCTGGTTATTTTATAGAATGAGATGCCCCAAAGAGGCAATGGGTCAAAAATCTCTCCTCAGTCATATTTTGTATTCAGGTACTGACTTTTGATTTATAGCAAAGAGCAGAACTGAACCTATACAGAAATGAGCACATATATATGTGTATTACAGTGTGCATATATGGTGATGCCTAAATTAAATGATTGCCTAAATTTCCCAATAATAGCCATTTTTTCCTGTTTCTTGTTAAATTGCCATATCTCTCAGAAGGAAGATGCTTTGTAGGATAACTACCACACTTTAAACATTTTCTTGTGTGTAAAAAACCCTAAGAAATGTTTTGACAAGGTCAAGAAAAGACTTTAGTATAGACTCTCAAGAGGCTCTAGACTTCTGAGTTTCAACATTTGGATTGAAAGTGGTTGCTGTGTACTTATCAGAGACCTGCCTCTTTTTTCTTTCGTATTGAAAATAGTCCAAATTTGACCATGTCACGGATTTTAGTTCACCCACGTCCAATAAAGACTTGACAGAGGTTGACATATTCCACAATTTTATCATTTTATGTTTCAATTAACTTAAAATGAAATGTACAGTATAGCTTATTTCACACATTTTTCTCTGGCCTCTGAACAGAGTATCCTCTGTCTACCTTTGGAAGGATGAAATAAAATTGAATATTTGTAATGAATAGCCAGGGTTTTTTTAGGAAAACAAATTACTTAAATAATCTACATTCTTAAACACAAATAATATACTATAAGGCATATGAATACAATTATTTTACCTGAATGGATAGTCCATTAAATACTATGTCTTATTGACCAAGAGTGTTAAGAAATGTGATCAAAATGTGATCAAAAACAATTATTGTATTTTACAGAAGTTCAGTTTTAGGGATAATTAGTAGTTTCCTTCTCAGTGAACGTGCAGGTTTTGTGTTTTTCTTCATTTCTATCCTATCCAAAATAGCTGTATTAATCATGAAAAGGGAAACAACTGACATCAAATACCTTCCACTTTGTTTAGAATGATAAAACTAATCTGTAAATGAATGAACACTCAGTGGAATGGCCAACTTTCTTTTCTTTTTGTGTTTTATGGTGCTATTTAAAGTGGGTGAAAGTCACTAATTCCATACTGAAAGTACTGAAGTAATCACAAAACAGTGTGTTGGAGGAGGAGAATGCATGGCAAAAGTTAAGAGTTGAAATCACTCACATTTAGGGCCATTCTTCATACAAGAGCACACTTCCCCAGAAATGTTTATGTCAAGCACAGAAATTCTTCACCTAGAAAAAAGTCACAAATGGTTGAAGCAATGGGAACAGGAATATATCTATGTCTATATATCTATAACCTATATCTATTCTATCTATGTCATCTATCTGTATCTATATATCTGTATCTATCTATATCTCTGTCTCTATCATATATATAATCTCTGTATTTCTATATCCATATCTATATATCTAATCTATATCTATCTATACCTTTCTATATCTATATATATCTATATCATCTATATCTCTGTCTCTATCATATACATATAATCTCTGTATTTCTATATCCATATCTATATATCTATATCTAATCTATATATCTATCTTTATATATCTATATAATCTGTATCTATCTATATCATCTATCTCTATCATATGTATATATATAATCTCTGTATTTCTATATCCATATCTATATATCCATATCTAATCTATATCTATCTGTATATCTTCTTCCTCTAAGGGCAGCAGATTTTTGTCACCCTCCAGACTTTGGAAGCCTTTTCTGGCCATTCCACATCTGATGAAAATGCTCACCTAATTCAGCCAGAGGTTTTTGGCTCTCTTAGCTAAAGGAGTAAACCCTTGAGGCAAGAAGTGGTTTCTAGAGTCACAGAATGGTCACCCTGTCTTTCCCAGCTGCCAGAGGCAGGCAATCTGCAGAGCTGGGTGTTTTTCAGACCTGTCTAATGCCATGTGCCAGCAGGCTTCCAGAGGCATCCCAGCTTCTCTGCCAAGCCAGAGGCTGAGCCTGCAAAGGCTGCCTGCAGCAACAGTCCCAGGGCTGGCAGCAGGAGCTGCTGAGCACCTGGGAGAAGCTGCTCCTTAAAGGACAGGGCTGGGGCAGCTGCTGCCCCATGGAGGGGCAGGGATTGCTCAGTTTGAGCAGGAGGTTTTGGCTGTGTCTCCTGCCAAACCTGTCCCCGGTGTGAGCTGGGATTTACAGCCTGCTGCAGCCTCTGTGTTGAGCTGATGCAGCCCTGACCAGATGATTCCCTAGGCGAGGATTCCTGCCTGGCCATTCTGGCTGGCAGCCAAGCCTCCTCCTCTGGGTGTCTGTCTGTCTGTCTGAAGTCTTTGGGAATTGCTCTTGCAGCTCAGCCTCAGCAGCTTGTCCCGGATATTCCTCTTGTGCTCCAGAGTGGTTTTGTGGTTTGGTGTGAGAGGAGGCAGAAAACACAAAAAGCCAGCAGCTCTGGAACTGCTCTCTAACAACATTTAGGTATTTGATAGTTCTTACTTGAACCATTCTTTGCTATCTATTCTTTTGTTTCCCCATAAAAATAATAAATAACCAGAGTGATAAATTGTACTCCTGAAATATTACATAGGACTTGCAGGTATGCTAAATTTTTGGTTATAGTTCAAAAGGCATTTCAAAAAATACCATTTGCTGTCCTTTTTGACAGCATTTTGATACTCTCCATTTTTTTCCTTTTTCTTAAGGAAAGTTAAGGATCTAATCAAATAATTTTTGCTTAACTTAGATAATGCACAAGCTACTTCATCTCTGCAATGACAAAGGGGAAACACCACATCAAGAGAAAATTTATTGTATAAGTTCCCTGCATCTCATCACCTCCACACTCTTTTTATTTGTTCTCAATTTACTAATGGGGTACAAAAACAACCAAATGTTGCAATATCACAGCCAACCTCAGCTTATTCAGATATAGTAGGTAGAGTTCTTTTATTTCCTACTCAACTCTTATCCACCTGCTTGGAAGAACACAGTTTAATACACCCTTAGCAGAATACCTCTAGGCTGTGTCACTAGGATTTATGGTCAAGTCACCCTGAGTGACTCCTCTCTCAAAGCACTTTGGCTGTGTTGTATCATCTGTTGCGTTAGTGCTGCCCTGGTTCTTCTGGACAATTTAATGTGCTGCAACAATTGAATTATCTTATAAGTATGTGAGTAATCAAATTCTTAAGGAAGGATTGTTCCAAGAGTAGCAGATCTTGCAGCAGATAGCAAAATGCAGATGCATTTCACAGAAATGGCAAATACTGCACTAAATACTGCACTAAATCAGACTGTTGTGCACATATTTGGTCACTGAATGAAGCATTTTGTACTGACAGATATTCCCTGGCTGTTCTCAGGTAAAGGTAATTCACAGATTCAGTCATTGGCTGAACTTGAAAGGTCTTTAAGTGTCATATGAATGTACAAAAAAAAGAAAAAATAATGACAATAGTTTTTCTGCTATTTTTGCATCTTTCTGATGGGAGGCTGAGAGTTCTCTCTGAGTATTTCTGATCTTAGCTACAAAATTTGGGTCTCTGGAATACAGACAGCAAATAGCTGACTGCTGAAGTATGCAGCTGAGTTGAAGCCCTGTGGTCTCTACAGGTGTCCCTATGAGGCAGATGAATCTGACTAAAGGTAAAATAACAGAAAAATCAAAAACCTAGTGTAAAGGAAAGATTTCTACTTGTTGGGCCGAGATTTGCTTAAACTGCAAGCTGCAGTGCTTTAAAAGCATGCTGAAATGGAGCGAGGTGCTATTTTTTAAAGTGCTGTAGGGCATTCTTCCAATCATTTGAGGAGAATGCACTACATATTCTGAAAAAGAATATTGTATCCATTCTTGTAATGCAGGCTCATTAAGCATCAGATTGATTTATTGTATTGTTTCCTTTATAAATTATTTTCATTATGTTTTATCACAGTACATGACTACTGCCCTAAGGGAATATGCAGGAATGAGCTGAATGGCAAGTGTAATAGACTGTTTTAATTAAAATAGTGTAATGCATATTTCAGTGCTATTAGCAAAAACAAAACTGATTTTGTTTTCTGGATAATTGAATAAATTAAGGCCCAGGTGCTCTTTTTCTATTGTTTAACCCTCTAAGTTCAGCTTCATTTGATGCTTTGAGCAGGAATTCCTGGGGAAGAGCAAAGCATAAACAGGAATTTTATCAATGAAACCTCCTTGATCCTTTCCAGTGTCTTTGAGTGAGCTCCAGACAGTGAGGAGACTGATCCACAGCAGAGAAAAACCCATTATTCCTCTGCACTTTTTAACCTGATATTCTGTGCAGACAGCAGTCACTTGCCACCATAATTCCATTAGTTAATGAACATCTCAGGAATTTGTCAATCATAAGAAACGCCCTTTAAAATTACAGTCAATCAATGACACCTACTCTTCTAAGCTGCTTTATTTTCCCCCTTTTCTCTTGATTTATATTGGCTATGAGTCTTTTTCCCTCCAGATACCAAAAGTTTACCTTAGCAAGAAGATGCATTGTGCCAGATGGTGACAGACACGGGCAAAATCAGGTTCATAATTTCTGAGCAGAGAAGTCAGATGAAAAAAACCAACCAACCTAGAAAATGAACTGAGAGCTGGGTTATATGACCCATCTGTCCTCGAAGAGAACCATTTTGCCTAATTATTTTTGTCTACATACCCCAAATACCAGAACCTCCCTCCTTTTCATCAGCGGAATTTTCACCAGAAACTGCTACTTTGCAATAAATATTGTAAAGGGTGTTTCTGATTCAGCTATCATGGTCCCCTGGATTTTCATCACATGTCAGGGTGGAATGTTGTATCAGTTCCGAGGGGTCTTTTCTTACAGCCCAGACACAATGGATATGTAAGACCTTATCTCCCATTTTATGGGGTGAAAAATGGTGGTTTTCCAAGAAAAAAGTAAAATTCCCAGGAAGTGGTTCACCATTTGTAAAGACTGCCCTATTTCCCAGGGACATGCAACCTGCTAAAAAGGAATGGTATTGTGAAATTAAGAAATAGTAACTGTAATTTTAGCTATGTCTTTTTAAAGTAAAAACCAAACCAGACCAAACCCACTCCAAGCATCCTGAAGCAGCATGAACTATGGTGATATCTGTCTGGGATAGATATCATTTAGAAATAAATCAAACAGCTGAACTGAAAGATAAGTCAGAAATTCAAAATAAAGCAATGCCAGACAGCACAAAAAGAGTTACTGCTGCTCCATTCAGTTACTCTGGGGATACCCAGACAACACTAATCATTGTAGTAGTCTGAAGATGTTCCCTATAAATCTTATACCCTTTAAAATAAAATATGGGTATCTTCTTTTCCCTATCAAAGATTTTCTGTTGGAACTCATTTACTCAACAAGAGCCTTTTACAAATGATAGTCCTGCTTTTACAACAGAAGAAAGCCATAATTAAAGCGGTGAGTCATCCCTCCACTGGGTTTCACAGGAAACCCCTTATTACTTTAAAGCACCTGCTGTAGCTCTTCGACTCATTTCCCAGAGAAGAGTTGCAGATACAGATTGGTTCCAAGTGGTTCCCATAAAAGAATAGACCAGTGAACTGATTTTACATAAATTTCAGTCTTTATAGTTTCTCTTCCTCTGCAATTAATGAGATCTGGCTGAATCCCCAGTTACTTCTGGGTCGTGATTTATAAAGCACAAGTTGAGATTCAGATTTTTCAAAAATGATTTCCCACATTTTCTTGTTATTAACTCATTTCTTACAATGCATCTCTCCATGTTTCTTCTTCTTGGAACTGGTCACCTTTAATCCGTTACAAGATGGTTTTAATTATTAACAGGAACATGCTAAAGTGTACTGAAAAGTATTTAAATACTACAGCATGACAAAATTACACAGACATTGGCTATTTCTCTATTTTGATAAATGGCTATTAACTATTTAACTTTTCAATACTCAATATTGAGTCCAATCAATGCAATAAAACAATCTAAACCATAACATTCTAAGATCAACATACTATATACTGCAGCTAACATTAGATAGACAAAAAATATTATGTGCTCATTTGCTATATGAAATTTTAAAGATAAGAAAAATGTGTAAACAGCAGAAAGCAGAGCAATTAGTTTAGATTCAGTAAATCAATTATATCAGAACAAACCAGAAAATTTCATCCTGAAATATGCTCAAATATTCAGAGATTTCAAATATGTCAGAGATTTGGTAACTATTTTTAAGTACTGCTCTAAATTAACTATAATGATCAAATAATCCTAAACAAGCTGTGATAATTTAGGCAGATAAAAAATATTTCAGAATAAGGAAACTAATATTTTCATAGATAAGAATATTATTATAGAATCAGGATGTAGACAGTTTAGCTTTGGAAGAAGAAACAAGTCTTCATTATTCATGATCAAACACAGTTTGTATCCTCACTTTGATTGTGGTACTTTGCTCAATACAAATGTTCTCTAATAAAAGGATAAGGCCCAAAGTTTGAAGCAACTGCTTAGAAAATAGCATGTTCTTACTGTGCCAATAAATGCAAGCAGAATAGGAATCAAAAGAGTTCCATGAAAAGAGGTAAGTTTAGAATTAATAAAAATCTAAACAGCAAGTAACTGCACCGGCTAATGCACTACATTTACAAAATGCAGGGCTAAAGACAGCTTTTATTTAGAGTACAACATTTCATTGCAGTTGGGAAGTAAAATAGAAGGGCTGTTTTTTAAAGGAATAACATGAAATAGTTTCACTCAAACATGTGGTCTGGGAGCTAAACTTTTGCACTTTTTTTAGCTGACCCATGTTTGCAAAACACAAAAGATAATTCAGTTTGCTCAGAAACTCACTCAAACCTTTCTGGGTCAAATCTTCACCTTCGCCAGGGAGCATTCCCATTGAAGTCAACCTTTAGCACTTTCTCTTCTCGAGCATCCAGCTCTGGTGTATTCTGTGAGAAAAAAAGATCCTCAGATGTGTGTCTGCAGTGTGTTCTGTGGAGAACTGCTGCAAAAATAAAAATGGAAGCAAATACACTGAGTATCCTGGGTTGCTTTAGGAAGCTCACAGCTTTTATCACCACTGAAAAGGAATTATAAGTTTTTCAGAAGTAGCCAGCCTTCAATGTTTTGCTTCAGCAGAAGTGATACAACAAAAATGCATATTTACCTTTGACTTTTACCTCACTCTTGTTATTTATTTTTTGTTTGCATTTTTATAGGTCAGTTTTGAAAATAGTTGTGCGTTTGTAAAGTTCATGTGGGAGTAACCCCACTAGTCACTGTCACCCAGGGACATTGTGCCCAGCAGACAGTGGATGCTGTCAGGTATCTCCTCAAGGCTTTGCACCTTCCTTAGAGGGTAAAGTCTTCAGGATTTGGGTAAAATTTTTTTATTCAAACTTGTATTTGCACAAGCTGTTCAGTGCTCAGCACACTGGGTGTCAACCTTTTGGAATCCCTCTTCTCAAGACAAAATCCATTTTTATCACTAAGACCTGCAGTCAAGGATTAATAATGTAACCATTAAAGTTTCTCCTCCTAGATGAGACATTCTCTACTAATCTGTGTCTGAACCTTGTCCTGCCTCTCTTTCTGTCCTTAAAAGTCAGCCAGCCTTGCTTCTCTCAACTCAAAATGTTTGGCAAACAGAAACTCTCTGCTGCTCTCAGACCAGCTACTAATGTAACTTAATTTTCCATAAATAGCTTCTGCATCATCTAGGTTCAGCAATTCCTGTCTGCTAATATTGTCTGCACACACTGACTTGCTCATATAGAGCTTCTCTGAAGTCCAATCCACTCCAGCTAAATATGATTTTTCAGGCTGAGCTTTATGCATCAGCTTTGGCTCTGAACCAGAGCTGGAACTGGACAGCTGGAACAAGAACTGATCTGGCAGCAGGCTCAAATATAGCTGCTGTGGAAGCCTGTAAGATTTTTCTATATCAAATGTACACAGAACTGAAAAATAATCACAATAAACCATCTTTCCTAGAACTGAATGAAAAAATGCTGATTTTTTATATAGTCTTCTCAGTCAGTAAAGGGTGAAAATTCTTTTCCTCCACTTTTTTTTTTTTTTTTTTTTTTTTTAAGGAGAGTGAATTCCAGTCTTGTCTATACCATTATGGAGCAGACCCTCATGAAATTAGAGCACTAAAATTAATTTACCCAATATTTTGGCAATCCAGGTTACCTCTGCCCCTTAATGCAGTGGTACTTATGAAGGAATTTAGGTTATAATGAGATCCTAAGTCCTTGTATTACATTTTACCAGTAGGATCAATTTAATATCTTAGGCATTGAGTCTAGAAAAGACTTTGAGGATTCATCTCTGGGCATACCCTATGGATGTGTGACATTCTCAGTATTTCAGACACATTTATCAAACCTGTGCTTAAACTAATAGTGGTCTCACAACCACTTTTTTGTTGCAGCTGAATATCAATTAGCCTTTCAGATGAAATATTTTCTCAGGCTGGCCTGTTTCTTATGTATTGAAGTGTTATTATTTTTATCTCATTTCCAGTACAGAGAAAAACATATTTTCCATTGAGGAAAACTGCTTTGCATGTATGTGAATCGTTCTGACTGTCTCTTCTTTTAGACAAACCCAAATCTTTCATTCTTGCATCTGCTTATATTTTTCAGCTTGGTTTGAGATCTCTCGACTTTCTTTACATTTCCTCTTAATGCTTCCAACATGACAGCTCAAGGAATCAGAATCAGGTCAGAACCTGGATCAAAATACCTTTGCACAATAATTTAATGTCTGGAAGCAGTTTAAAAAGAACGGATCCAAGTCTTAATGAAGAGAAAAAGTAATAAGAAATAAAATATTTTACTCCTTCCTCAGACAAGGTCCATTCCTTTTTACCTGAGGAAAGATAATTTGATTACCTCTTAATCTCTTTTTCTCAATGCATTTGGATCTTTCACAGTTGTTGTGATACTTTTACCCCTATTTTGGGTGTTTATCCCTATAACCACATCAGGAATGTGACAGATTCAAGGGATTTCTGAGTGGTTGGGATGGTGCTGTGACAAATACCCCCCTGAAGAGCAGAAGCAGGGAAGAAATGATGTGTAAATCTGTCTGCTCTGCATTATCCTGGCCATTGGTTTTCTCACTGCTTTCAAGAAATACAGTGCAACAATTCAGCCAGAGTATTCTCATGCATAGTCAAAAAATGAAACCATGCAATTCCAGGAATATGAACCATAAGGGGCTGATTCCTCATCCATTTGAGAAATTCTATGTAAATATTTAATTAATTTAATGAATACTTAGTTGATTAAATAAATTCTGGTAGTGTAAGCTATAGAAGGATTAATTGTCTATACATTTCCAATAAAACTATTTTGTCTGATTGAGTTCTTAGAAAAAGCAATTTGTATTGTCTTTAATGCCCTAACAGAATTTCTTAACAAAATATTTATCCTTTTTTTTTAAATATGGTTGAGGATTTTCTTTTGCAGATTGTACAATTTATATACCTATATAAACTATGACTATATATTTGAATACTTTTTGGACTCTGGTGGAACAAGTAACTATTCCAAAACTGAAGAAATAGCAGGAGGAATTTAATATTGGAAAGGTGTGAACATGTGTCTTAGCAATGTGTTATCTAGAGGTTTGGAAAAGGGATTAATTTTAAATGAAATGAAAGAAAGCAACAATGTCAACATATCTGAGCTCTGGTGCTTCTCTGAGTCATGAAACTCCCAAGTTACAAGGAAAAGTTACAAATGAGACACTGAGAAAGAAACCAAAAGAGAAAGAAACCCAAACAGTTCTTTAAAAGACACAAATTCAAATTTTACTTCTTGATAAAATGTGATTAATTGCACACAGATTACTACTACCATAATAAAAGACAATTATCTCACTAGTGGCCAATCAAAGGGAAGTAGCACAGAGAGGGAATTGTGCTCCAGATTACACCCATTCCTTCTGCATTTAATGTAAAAATATATGAACACAATTACACACCAATAAGTTAATAAATATTACACTGAATGCAATAACACATAAGATACCAGGATGTGAAAGGATTTGATGAACTGGCAAGCACCTGTATGTGCAGCTAATACCCATTTGTTTGGGAGCCCCACAGGACGTGATGTGATTCCTAACAGCACTTGCTTTGTTTCCTCCATTTCCTCAGCTTGACCTTCAGCAGATTAACGTGGCATTACTCTAAAAAAGCTGGAGGAATGTAAAGAGGGGTTGTATGTGTACATTAGAGTAAAACAATGTATTGTTCAGGGATTAAAAGTAATAGATTGTGCTCAAGGGTATTTACATGATGTTTTATCACTCCTTGCAAGGCTGGAACATTCACAGATTTGATTCTTTTGTTTTGGAGCATAAGATTACAAAGAGTATGAACTTCATCTGAGATTAACCAGTTTGTGTTAATTCAACTTCAGTAATAGGGAAGTTAGCCAGAAGTCATTAGAAGACAAAAGTCTCAAACTTAGACCACCTTACCTGTGGACAGAGACCTCTAAGAGGTGAGAAAAACACAGTGGAAGTTACTTTCTGGATGTTCCTCCTAGTTTTGGCTGGACATTGTTTTGTACTCATACAAAGGACCACATGATTTCATTCCCACCTTACCCACATCTTTCTATGATTCTGGCAGTAAATATGTCTCATGTTTATGTACCAGATTCTTATAAATGCACACATATATCATATAAAACAGAGTATTCATAGGAATGGCATTAAACCAGACAGGATCTGTTTTCCCTTCACTGGTCTGATGTGCTCAGGGCTTCATAACAACATATTACCTTGCATGCATTTTATCTCTTGTGAAGTCATTTCAGAACACACAGGTGCTTTACATGTACAGCTCTGCAAAGTGCATTGCTTTGGTAAGACAGAAGTGTAAACGCATGACCAAAGCAAATGGAACCGGCTCTGTACCATGTCAATATGTGCTAAACCCTGTCCTTCAGAGAGCAGTGGTTTTCTCCAGCATCTCACTGACAACTGCACAGGGGGGATTAGTCTAGTACTGTCTGCCTCACAGCTCAGGTGGAAAAGTGTCATGGTTCTACACAAATAGAAGAAACCTTACCAGGACTGAGCCTAGAAGAATTGGGTTTTTATCCTCTAGAAAAAAAAAAGGCCAAATTTTTGTTCAGAGCACAGAAAAAATGTTAGCAGCCTGTATGTTTCCCATACTCCCAGACACAGGGAGATTCTCAATTTGATCAATTTTGGAGGTGATGGCTTGTATTTTATACTAAGTGGTTGTAGAACTATTTTGTCATGGCAGAAGTCTCTCAGGCACTTTTAAAAGCTCATCTACATAAGGCCCAAATTAACAGACATCTTAATTCTTCAAGAACAGAATAACAAAACCTGCACTTCTGCTTTAAACATATAGAAATCATGCAGCTGGAGGGAATTCTATCTTCCTCATTCTTCTGTGTTTGAAAATAAGAGTATGGAAATAACCCCTAAACCCTGGAGCTTGAAGACTGAGTCTTCAGTTTCTTGCTTGAATCACAATTGAATTACCATATAGGCTTATTGTAATATTATAAATACAGCATTTATTCTAAGCTGTAAAATAACTACTGAATCATTCTGTGCAATGGTAGAAATAAAAGCTGCTAAACTGTATTTGAAGCACATAAAACACAATTAGAGATGCAGATTAGCCTTGAGGAACAAGCTCAACAAGAAACCAAATGAATCAACTTCAGACAAGTTTCACTAAGAGCTTTATGATATTCAGACTTCAGCAGTGTTGCTCTCCAGAACAGATAATTAAAGAATTAAGTCATGGTATCTATTTGCCAACTCTGGCACTTCTTGGTCTGGTATCATGCTACTCCCATACTCATTTCTGTACCAATATATATCAGCCAATTTGGCTTTCACTTCTCCAAACAAAATGAGGTAAATTAGTCATCAGGGAGTAGGGAAAATTGTAGCAACTGCATCCTGCAGAAACTGTCTCTATGAGTTGTTACAAGTACTCACATCCTAAACTGGAATCTACCCTGTGTGGTTAAACTACAATGATTTATGCCAGATAAGCATTCTGGTCTCTGCCCGTAAATGTGTCTCTTGCTCACGGGCTCAGGCTGAGCTCTGTGCAGGTTCAGGCACCGCTAAAAGGGGGACAGAGAATAGGAGATTACTGTGCTCACTATTAACATTGTGCAAAATTAAACTGGAAGGAACCAATAAAGTTTTCAGCAATACCTAACGTTTAGTTTGCATGCAAATTCCATTTCAGGATAAGGTGTACCTGAATGAGCCAGGTCATCCCTATGTCTGATCTTTCTTGATACTCTACTGTGGACAAATATAAGTGACCAGAATGAGTGAAATTCAAGCCAGGGTAGGAGGAGGGAAGCTACATCATTTCCGCCTGCAAAGAACCAACCCACAACAAACAAAAATCAACCCCAACAAACCACAGCAAGAGAGACATCAAAACTTTAAATTTAATTTAACAATGCATTTAAATGACAATGCAAGAACATATAGAATATAGTGACCCAGCAGAGCTCTCACTGTAGACAGGAACTGCAGATAACTATTGCCACTGTGCTATCACCTCCTTTCAAGTTCCCAAGATGTTACTGATCAAATGTACAAGTAGTTTTATTGGTAAGAACCTTCATGAAAACTGAGTAGAAACATTATTTTTAAGCAAGTGCACAGCAAGTGGGCATCAATACTGAATTAAAAGTACTTGGCCCACGTTTTTGTATTTTTCTGATAAGTAGTTCAGAAGTAATATTCCTGTAAAACTGACCCCAGGCATTCCCTCACTGGCTCTTCAACCTTTTCACTGGGTCAAGGATGTGATGTGTAAAAGAGAGAAGGATGAATGTGAGCAGCAGCTTTCAGTACTGCTCTGAACCCCACTGGGTGGGATGGGAAATATATTTATTGTTTGCTGCAAGACAGATTAGAGAAGGTCTCATATGTGAGATCCCAGACAGTGTCCTGACTCAGGTACAGAGAGAAAATCAAGTGTAGTGCCTGTGTTCAGTTGTCTGTCTGCAAATGGAGATGGTGCATGACAGCTTTTCACAAGTGATGTTCAAAATCACTGATACAGAGAAAGATTTTCCATTGATTACAGCAGCCTTTGAACCATGTTATCAACGGGACAAAAAAGAAAAAACAAATAAAGGAACTAGCCTATGTTTAAGACAATGGGGCACAGAGAGAGGTGTTTTTTAGACCACTGAAAAACCCACCTGACCTTTATGCATATTTTGCTTTCTTTCAAAAAATCTTGGCTTTTCTAACCTAAGTGTCATGGGGTTTTCTTAAGATTGAAATACCCGAGGAGTGTTGAAATGGGATCTAATCTCATAAATCACCCAGGCAGTTCTGCAAGCATTCACATCTTGTTCCTTAAACTGAGGTGAGGTTCAAGCCTGGTTAGACAACTCCAGTGTTCTGCATCCCACAGTGTTCTGTCAGCACCTGCCTCTTGCTGCCCATCAGGCAAAAGCTGGGTTCAAAGCTGAACCATTCCTCAGGAATAATTTTACCTGTGGAGCTCAACACCATTTCCTGATTTCTCAGCCCAGGCCCCTGCCTTCTGTTTATGCTTGGGTTTTGAAATCTAATTTGCTGTATAGCACAAGCCTCATTGACTATAGTAGCACAAGCCTGGTATTTAAGTAAATTAGTTGATAATTACTTCTAATGTGCAGCTAAGTATTTATAGGAAATTTGGATTGTTTTCTTTATTTTTGCTAAAATGCTATTCAAGGAATCTAGACAGCATTAATTTTAATTAGGAGGATATTATTCAGAACTAATAAAATACATGAATAATAACATTTTTCTGTTGTTAATAAAACACATGTACTTTTGCATTTGTTCTTTTTCCTTTAAAATGTGTTCTTAAACTGCAATCAAATAGGTGCCACCTATTTGATTAATAACTGAGTATGTTAATTTTATTTAATTTCACCATTTTTGGACAGAATAGTCAGCTCCCTTATTCAGAAAAATGAGCTAATTTGAAAAAGCAAGAACTAATTTCAGACAAGTGCTTCCACAAGATGATTTCCCCAACTTGTGCATGCCCTGTTTCCAATGACTTAACAATCACATTAACTTTTTGATGGCTCCACTGCACTGCTGGACAGGCTGATGGAGTGACCTAGAGATGTTGTTCATCCAAATTATATTCCAGCAAAGCATTTAAGTGTATGAATACTTTAACATATCTGTACTCCACTAAAATCCATCCAACTACTCACAAGTTCACTTCTGTGTGTGCTTTGTTGGACAGAAGCCACAATTACCAACCTGCTGAAGTGGACCTTAGTAAAATATATTGAGAGGAAGCATCTCTGTGAATAAAAATAACACTTTGGGAATATGTTAACCATAAAATTACTAGAATTTAATTTTCTCTATCATTATAGAAAAAGGAATTAAAAAATCTTTCCACATTGGTCTGTGTAGTAATTCTGAGCTGACTCTTGAGACTTGATACATAACTCACCCCCATGGCCTTTCCAGTGATGCCATTCTCAGTCTTTTGGACTTTCTTCATTTGAACACAATTCTCTGTCTTAACTGTAGATATACAATGTAGTAGGGTCTTCTGAGACCTCTTGAAAGGTCTGCTGCTGTTCAGTCTCTCTGAAATAAAGCACAAATATTGATGCTTTCATTCATGAGAGTCAGCCAAGATATAACACAACTTTTTTATTTTCTTTCCTTGAGAAGGGACACTTGAGATGATGCATGATGGTTTTTCACAAATGATGTTCAAAATCACTGACATAGAGAAAGGCTTTCCATTTATTTCAGCAGCCTTTGAACCATGTTATCAATGGGAAAAGAAAGAAAAAACAGCACCTGCTGGTGCCTTTGGGGCTTTTTAATATAGTATCTCTTCTTTTCCTTAACTTTACAGAAGTCTCCTTGCTCCTGGTGATATCCCACACCTGCCACGTGTGGAGCTGCTGCAGTGGAACAAAGAGGAGCCTTTGCAGCAGCCACCCATCATGCTACCACTTCACCATGAACTAAAGAGAGGGGAGGAGCTCTGTGAAGAAAACTGACATTTTTATTGGTTTGGAAAGCACTTATTCAAAACTATTAGACTTTGGGTAAAATTCCAATATGCTGGCTGAGATTAATTTTATATATTTTTAAGTAATCTGATTATCCCATTCTTGGCATGCACAGAACATGTACTATGTTTTTCTTTTTCTGTGGTTCTGTTCCTCTCTGAGCTGACTTCTAACTTAAACAAACCTCTTGTATTTCACACAAGTATGCAGTAATATAAGTATGCAGGTCAAGCAACTTTAACATAAATGGGAAAATAGAAATTATTTTTCTTACATGCGAGTTGGAAATGGTAGAGTCTTCAGTCATGCTCCTTCAGTGGACAAATAGGACAGACTGAAATCTATACTGAAGGGTATATTAAATATTGGATTTATATCAGAGAGAATGGGAGAGAGATCACAGAGTAGCACCCATGATATTTTTGCTATTACAGCACACGAACTGTAATGAAATTATTTTTTTTATTTTGTCTCTCATCTGCGGATGTTCACTGCCACTGAGCACGTTCACTGGAGCTGGAATAACTCCAGAGGGGTTACTGCACACCTTTTGTGCCTGGGCAGGGGTGGAAGTTGTGTCCCTTCAGGAGCTCCTGCTGTAGCTCCATGCTGCAGGGGCAGAGAGATGCTGACAGAGTCAGGAGCCCGTGTGGCATTGGAGCTGTGGCTCCTGCCTTCCACAAACCAGGGCTTTTCCCCACAGAGCTGCAAAAGATGCTACACTGTCAAGAAGATGCTATTTACAGACAGGGCAAATATGTCGAAATAAAAGGGCCTCAAATTAACTGTAATCAACTTCTTTTCACTACTTGTCCTGGCTTTATAATAAAATTTCCAGATTTACTGATAAATTTTTCCTTTGTAGAGAAGCCTGGAAAATTGTGTTAGCAGAAGAGTGACCTCCCTTAGAGTTTATGAGATTGAAAACCTTACATAAACTATCCTTCACTCCACAATAGCTCATTATATTTCGATTTTATTTAATTTAAGCTGTGTGGCTTATAATCAATGAAGTTCCTCTGCTGAAGAGAAGGAGGTTTTAGCTTCAGAACAAATACACAGCATTTTTTCATTTCCTTAATCTTGTGCTGTAGGTGGTCAGTTCCAACTGCTGCATTTGGCACTGGAAATTTGTCTAGTTTAAAGCCAAGTAAAACAGGCAGAGAATAGCTAAATTGAAAAATTGAATTTAATATGTTAAGTATTATGCTGCAGTTTACATAATATCAGTGCTCCCCAGGGTTATATATTATGGTGGTAGTGCTCTTTGACACAGATTGCTATGAACCAGGAGTGATCCAAGGGCAGGTAGAAACAGTAAGTTTGCTCTCGGGGAAAACAATATTGAAACAAGAACTGCACTTGCTGCTCTTCAGGACTGAACATTGATCAGTTCAGTGCTGGGGGCAGCCTGAGGACTTCCTTCCCTTAGTAAGTTCTGCAGAACATGGCACAGCTTGTCCTGTACTGGGAGAGCTGCAAAATGGCTTTGGTAGAACAAGCACATTTCAGTGCCTGTGGATGGCCAGGCCCTGGCAGGGAGAAACCCACACTGATCCACTGACCCATTATAACCATGGTGCTCCCAGGAGCTGAGAACCCAGCCTGTACCTTCCACCTCTTTGATCCCTCTTTAACTGTCATACTCAGCAGTCTTTTCATGGACAAGCTGTTTGGTTTGTGTACTGCAGCAGGTGAGCTCTCACTGACCAATTCTCATCAAAAAATGTGAATTTTGAAACTGTTTTTTTTTGTGCTACTTTGTTGCTTAGCAGTGATCCTATATCTAAAACATTAGTGTCCTCCCAGGGGAATTTCCTTTTTTCAGGATAAATCCCAGAACTGTCCCAACTAACTGCAAAGGTCACAGCCTTGAGGGTGTTTTCTACCCTTGAGCCTAGGCAACAATAAGCCTAACATGGGTTTAATGGGAAAATGGAAAGGTGACCCTGGCCTCAATGTTAAGGAGAGCTTTGTGTGGTTCATTCCTGCAGTCTGGATGTGTGCCTTACAGGCCAGTCACAAACTGTTTAGAAAGCTCATAAACTGGAAGAAAGCACAAGATGAATGAAAATAAGCAAATTGGTCCACATTTTTTATGACCAAAAAGTGTTACTTTGAACTTCAAATTCATGCCACAAGAACTGTAGCATAATATTCTATGTTTATGTTATCTGCTTGTGAAATACTAATTTCCTTGCAAATCAAGGGTCTGACTCTACTTAGAGTTCAAAGGCAAGTTCAAGAAGCATTTGGACAATGCCCCCAGGCATATGGGAATTCTTAGGGTGTTTTGCATAGGGCCAGGAGTTGAACTCTGTGATCCTGATGTGCCCCTTCCAGCTCATCATGTTCTGAAATTCTAGAAAACATTCTCACCATGAGAATTCAATGAGAGGAAAACGGCCTAAGTTTGCTATTTCTCCAGAACCATTAAAATGTTAAATGCTATAAAGCTTTTATATTTTTGACATCTAAGCAGAATAAGTAGATGAGCAAATAATTTTTTCAGTTAGCTGAGAAAAATGCTTGTCTTTTTAATATCTGAAAATGACAGCTTTGCAGTTCTATTCTCATTTTATCCATCACTTCTAATTGCAGAGTAGAGTGCTACTTTCTCAACTGCCTGTAACTTCTGTGGTCATTTATTCCACTGCAAAAAGGGTATAAAAGACACTACTCAATGCTGTTTAATCCTTAAACTGCCTATACTGAATTCTTGCCTTTTGAAAACTATATTTATTTTACTCTATCTGTGACTGCTATATTTTCTAATGGATACAGTTACACAGGAGAGGAAAATTGCAGTGCTAGTTAAGAATAAGAAAATGTGAAAATTCATAATGATTTATTTTTCAGCACTCCCCATACTGAACAAATAGTTTTGTTCATATCCAGTAAAATTCTAACAAGAAGCCTGCATTGGAGTCTGGGGAAATTATCATCCTGAAGAGTAACTTAGATCTCCAAAAATCAGCAGACTCTTGAAATAGAAACACCAGCTAGTACATGCAGAGCAGTATTTCTCTGGGCTCTCTCCCCTGCCCAGAATCAAATCACTTTGGAATTAAAGCTTGAAAAATGATAAGTTACAACGTTTAGGGGAAGAAAAAAAAAAAAAATCACTACAGTACAGGTCAATGAAAGAAATGATGAAAATACAGAAAGATATTCGGAATAATTTCACTGCACCAAATTCACATTAGCTGATTGGTCATACATAAATATTTATGACAGAAATTGCAGGGATATGTAATGCAGGGGTGGAGCTGGAGAGAAAGATGATCAGATTTGTGTGTGTGACAGGACAGGCTCGTTCCTGCCATTCTGGCTGTGCACCTTTCCAAAAGGGGAACCTTCTCATTGATGGCAGTAACTGAATGTAGTAAGAGCTGGCCCTGGCTCACCCAGGATTTCATTTCATGCAAAGCTGAACAGGCTGGGGCAGGGTTGGAAAGGTTATTACAGAGGGTGCATCAACTTCTGAGTTTCTCGCCATGACAGGTCAGGGAGAACCTGGGACAGAAGGAGCAGGTAAGAGCAAGTAGAGATACTCCTGCTCATAAATTCAGTACATTTGTGTACCAAAGTGGGCATGGAAGAAGTTATAAAACACTATTTCATTAAAATTAATATTTGAAATTTATTAATATAATTATTGATATCATTATTAATAATTCATGAATACATTTATTCCCTTTACAGTCACATTTCTGGTGTACTTACAGCAACTTAATTCTCCTTTTGTGGGTTTGATCACAAAGAACATTGATTATTTGGAATGACCATTCCTACTGTCAAGGCTGACTGTATAAATTTGAAATTGATCAATCACTATGTTTTCAAAAATGGATTGGTGTCATTCTTTGTTTCATTCTCTATGTTTTAAATTAGGTTTTTCTGTGTCAGATTTAGGTGCATATTTTCCTGCTTCTGTTTCTTGAAAATTGAGTTCATATTGAGCTCACCATCCACCAAAACTCCTTCACCCCCTTGTTCAGGACTGCATTGCAGCCTCTTATCCCCCAGTTCACAAGAACATACAGAATTACACCATCCCAGGTGCAGAATCCAGCATAATTGTTCACAGTAAAATTGCTTTCTATAGAAATAAGCAAAGAATTATATCAAATATATACCTTCACTATTTTACACTGAACAAATTATGGTGAAAACATGTTTCCAAGCTGTGGGATAAGAGAGAATGAAACCTGCTGTAAGAATTTTGTATCACAGCTCCCTGCAAGCTGAGCATACCTATTAGCTGCTGCTTCCAGATATTTGTTGATGAGCTGATGTTGTCTCATCGTTATCCTGACATTTGTAATTTCTTTCTTACAGGATAAACCACATCTTTCTTTGTTCAGCTTTTCTAAAAAAATACATAAAGCAAAGATATTTTTCTAAGCTAGTCAATGGATATGCTATGATAATGTGTTTAAAATTCACTGTAAGTAATTTTGTTGATGTCAGTATTACAAGATACTCTATAAATTAAATTGCATTGTATTGTAAATCTGCCCAGTAGATCAATACATATTATGAAGTACCAAACTAATTTAT